AAAGAAAGCAGTAACAAGCCTATATAATAACTTGTGTAGAAGCCTAGATAATTTATTAAGTATACGCACACATTTCTCTTACAAATTTGTTTCAAATCATCAAACAGAAGTACAGAACAACATTCATGGCTTTTTGATCACTTGATGATCCCTTGAAGAACACAATGTTGAGCCAAGCGGTTGAAAGTTTATGTATCGGCTTGGAGCCGATGAATGTCTTCTTCCCTTAGGCAAACAGTTCTCCAAATACTTACCCCCAAATTCATTTTTCCCCTTCTCAACTTTCGGCTTAAATATCGCGTAATCTTCCAGTTTCGCCCCTAGGGGCCTAGAGATACAAGCACCTACCATGAACAAAATTAGGAGGGTAAAGAAGAAAATAATCATGAAGAATGGAGGTCTAGACATTGGAATTTCTTTTTTTTTTTTTTTCCTTTTAATTAATTATGCAGTGCATGAAAAATATTATTTTGCGTGGATGTGTTGCATATATATAGTGAAATAATTGGTCATTAATTATTAAAGCGAATTGAACAATAGTGTAGAGCTTTAAATGAACTCGTGAATAAAAAGTGTACATATTTCACCAGCTCACAACCTAGTTTTCCAGCAATTGAGCAGTAGTGTGACTTGTGCACAGTTGATTAATTGGCAAACACATTCACTACCTAAATTCTAGATAATTATGACTCTAAAGAGAGAAGAGAAAGTCATGACTGTATAAATATAAATTATTTAGTGGGATAATAAAAATAATTGCTTTATACAAGTAATAGTTAAATAAAAATTATTATTCATGACGTTAATTGTACTAAATACAACAACAACATAGCTTTTTAGTCCCAAGCAGGTCCCAAACCTTGGTAAAGGAGAAGAGTTGTGATAGACTTGTCGAGCCAACGTAAAACCTAGCCGTTCTATGGAGATGAAACGCATGTTAATTGTACTAAATCTCTTAATTAATTGTTCACAATTTGTTTAATTATCCGATATATGTATATATGCATGTATGTGTATATACTGACATTTATTTTTATTTGGTGTCAATACAAGTCTATAAATTAATATTTCAATTTCTTTTACAGTATACAATTGGGATTCATATAAAGACCAAAATGTAGAAAGAAAATAGACGCGGAAAGGCTATAATTAACTTGCTACATTTCTTTCAAAACAACTCATCTTCTATAAAAAGGGGTGGCCATATGCAAATTACATGTGACGCAATTAAATTACAACAAGTTGCATATATAGTTAAAATTTAAGAGATCCACTTTTTAATTTTCATTATGTCATTTCCTAAACAAATCGAAGCTCCTTGACGTATTTGAACAAAAATGAATCCTATTTTTAATTAAAAAAAAGGCATGAAGTTATTGCATAATGCCCATCAGTCCACAATCCAAGCTGAAATAGTAAGATTAAAAGAAAAAAAAAAAAGGACATAATAATAATTAAATCTGTGCAAATGTTATTTGGACACATGCACGGATCCCATATGTCCACTTGGAGGGAAGTGGTAGCTGAACTAGTTTTGCGCAGTTAGTTATAACTAAATTAATATATACGGGCCGTCAATATACTGAAATCATGCCACGAAAACGAATTAGAGATTCATTTCACCTACTTACGAAGATCGTTTCTGATCAATGAAAAGTAGATGATGTGGATTCAGGCACAAAATTATTTACGGTCAATTGAAATGATGATACGTGTAAAATATGCAAACTAATATTAGAAATCAATTTATATATATATTTTTTTTTATCAAGACTTTCGTGCATTTTTCTTCTTTAACTCATAAATTGATTGTGACTTAGAATTGGTTTTGGTAGACATAACATATTGTTCGATATCACAAAGCAACGGATAAGTTACATCAATGTAAGTTAAATAAGCGCTTTTCAAAAAAGGTCTCCGAGAAATCAACCTTAATGACCAAAAACGCTCTCAAAACCGCCATGGCACTCAAGGATGGATCGGAGATCTTTGATCCGGGCAATGTTGCTCGGAATTTAAATCATGACACATAATTCCCAACTCTGGATCGAAATGCTCAGCAAGGTAATAAGCGCCCAAAGCTTCGCAAACGGCCTGGAGATCCTTTGGACCAACAACACCCATCGAGTAACCAACAGATCCCGGCACCAGCTCCGGATCAGCAACCCTCGGCAAGCAACCAACAGAAACCGGCACCAACTTCGGATCAGCAACCCTCGGCGAGTAACCAACAGAACCCGGCACCAAATCCGGAGCAGCTGACGCGCAAATGGACATTTAAGGATATGGTCAATAAACACAGAAACCATGTGGAGTTAGCTCCTGAGGATAAGGAGAAGGACACAGAGGATGAAGAAGATGTAGTTGTTGACTTGTCTCAATCGACACCCGAAATTACGATTGCAAAGCGGTTCTTTGAGAAAATTAACAAAGAATGGCAGAATGCGGTAGTGCTGAAACCGTTTGATGAGTCGCTCACTATGCCATCTCTCAACAATCGACTCACCAGGATGTGGCCGTTTATGACGGGTTGTAATATGATGGACTTAGAGAGCAGCTTCTACCTGGTCCATTTCCGAAATCATGATGACACGATCCAAGTTCTCACTGGAGGGCCGTACGTAGTTGGCAGCAGCTATATGCATGTACAACCTTGGACTTAACGTCAACAATAGCGTGGATCCGGCTACCCAGGGTGCCCGCTCATCTATACCATAGGAAGATCTTTCGTACGATTGGCCAGATTGTAGGCAAGGTGGTTAAAATCGATCAACAAACCGCAGCACTAACTCGTGGAAAATTTGCTAGGCTTGTTGTAATGGTTGACCTCACGAAACCACTTTGTGTGGAATTTACCATTAACGGAAGAACCCAAAGGGTGGTGTACGAGAGTTTGCCTATTATTTGTTTCCACTGTGGGAGGATTGGGCATTCGGGAAGCTCTTGCCTATACCAACCAACCTCCCCCGAACGCACAAACCATAAAGGAGCCAAGCCCGATGAAAGTACCAAACCAACGCAAGCTAGAGGTCAATGCTCAGGAGTGAAGGAGACGCCATCGGACGGAGATGGGAAACAACTGTATGGACCATGGATCCAGGTCCCTCAGCGTGCACGCCAGGCATACTCCCGGAGGGATAAAGGGGTGGATAAGGCACATAGTAACAAACCACCGCACACGATTGTGGGACGGGGGTCTCGGTTTGAGCTTTTAGACCGGGCAGATGAATCGAATCAAATGTTCGAGTTTGGTGCTTCTTCCCTAGCCAAAAACAAGCCGGAGAGCAATTTACCTAATAGGAATGCTGGGGAACCAGAAGAACGGGCATGGCGCGTAGTATCGGGCCGAGGGAAATGCCAAAGTAAGGCTAATACTGGGAACGTGAGAGCGGGCGTACTGAGAGAAACTACTACAGCAGTTGGTCTGGACCGAAGCGTGGATAAAGGAAAGACGGTAGTTCACAATCGTAGTTCTGGATTGGGAAAGAGTGACGGGCTACATCTAGATCGCGGTGGGCCTATAGCCCAGATGTTCTCTCCGGATCAATCAGGGAATGTTCGAGTTAGTGCGGGACTTGATCCGGACAAACATAGGGCGCTCGTGATACCAGCAGATAGGACCGTAGCGACCCCACACTAAAACTCTCAACATGATACCCTAGTGGAACCTGACGGGGATGCCCTAATGGAGAAGGATGCGCATAATATACATAGACAGGAACCATGGCCGGAGGACCCAACGTCGAGCGAGCATCCGGATGGCAGTCTGACTGAACACATGTGATATAGCCACATAAGGATAATCCGGTCCAGAGGCTACTTACCCGACCGGTGAACCGCTCGAACCACTCGCATATCGACATGACCCCGTCGACATGCTCAGGTCGACTTCCATAAGTCGACTCTACAAAGAGCGACCAGGAAGGGGCAGAAATCTGTTCAGTCGACACTCACAAGTCGACCTCAGTATGTCGACTAATGGAAGTCGACATTTGTATAAGAAGAGCAACAAGAGAGTAGCTTCCGAGCATCCAGATATTCTAAAGTCGACTCATAATAGTCGACTTCACTAAAATGATTCTCTGAAGACGACTTCCACTCGAGAGAACTAACCAAGCGTAGCCTCCGAAACCTCATATAATCATAAGTCGACCTCCTAGCTCTCGAAGTCGACTCAGCATACCTCGAAGACCGAAGATGTGATGACGACTCATCACACTTGCAACATACTTAAAGCTCTATATACTCCAAAGGATAAGAAATAATCTTGAGATGACTCAGCAGGAAGGAGAGACGAATCGACCGGGGTATTTTGGATCTTCTAGGTCCACCGACTTGCGCATTTTAGGTATTTCAAGTAAGTATTCACTCCTATATAAAGGAGGTGAGGTAACCCCAAACCCTAACTCTCATTCATTCTCCACACTCCCCCATAGCTGTTGCGCAGCCTCACTACATCTCTCTCATACTGACTTGAGCGTCGGAGGCTCTACGCCGGAAACACCTCCGGCGTTGAGTTTTTGCAGGTATCTCGCGGTTTAGCAATGATTCAGAGACGGTTCAAGCAGATCTTAGCTCAAATCCACCGGTTTACTCTAGATCTGGAAGTAGACCCATCAACATGTGCATGGAAGAGAGCTCGGAAATGCAGGTCCACAGCCTGGATTAATGATCGGATGTTCTTATTACATTGGGTACATGATGAATATTATCGCATGGAATGTTCAGGGTGCAGGCTCGCCTGAATTTCGGGGAGCTTTTTCCACCATAATTCACTAGTATAAGCCGGATATTACAACCATGTTTGAACCGTGCATAAGTGGGGTGACGGCAGATAAGTTCATGCGTTTTAGTAAATTTAATAACTCATTCCGAATAGAAGCCCGAGGATTTTCGGGAGGCATTTGGATATTGTGGAATGAAGATGTGAAAACTGAAGTACTGTGTTATACTCGCCAAATGGTCCATGTGCGGGTCACTAAGAATCGTGTGACGTATCTGGTTACTTTCATCTATGCTAGTCCCAATACAACAATCCGTAAAAAATTATGGGCTGAGTTGGGGAGTTTGGCGACGGGTATCTCGGAACCATGGATAATTGGAGGCGACTTCAACTGCCTTCTTCGTCGGTCCGAGAAAACGGGGGGCTCAAACGCATACTGTAATGTGAGCCATGAGTTTGCCGACTGGATATTTGATAATAGCCTACAGGAGGTGCCTACTGACGGACATCACTTTACTTGGACTCGGGAGACCAGAAATGATAGGGTGGCAGAAAAACTGGACCGTTTTATAGCGAATCTTGTGTGGCTAGAGAAGTTCGAAATGAGCCGATCTCGCCTTCTACCAAGGATCCAGTCGGACCACTCTCCCCTTCTGTTGGATGTCGGCCGGCAACACCACTTGCCTACTGGGGCGAAGCCGTTCCGTTTTTTGGCAGCATGGCTTACCCATCCGGAATTTAAAGACATGCTCCTAAATACGTGGCAGAGGTCCATGGGTTATTTGGAGGCGGCTGATAGCTTTACTGTGGCAGCGAAAGAATGGAATCGTAATATATTCGGGAACATATTTCGACGGAAAAACCAGTTGATGGCCCGTTTGGAAGGAATTCAGAAAAACCGCCACCTTCATTATCGGCTGGTGACTTTAGAAAAAAAGCTTCAGGCAGAATTGAAAGATGTTACTCGACAAGAAGAACTACTTCTTATGCAAAAGGCGACGAGGGACTGGAACTATCTGGGAGACAGAAACACCGCATACTACCACCGACAAATCAAGTACCAGCGAAGACGGGGACGCATAATTGAACTAACGGACTCCGAAGGCAACCTGGTCACGGACCAGGATTCTCTGAGTCGTTTGGCCACAACTTTCTTTAGGGACATTTACACTGCAGGACCAATCCCGGTGACGCAAGAGAGCCTGCTGAACCTATTTTCTCCTAGCGACATTGATGTTATGAGTGGACTGAGGGACGATATCACGGATACCGAGATTTCTTCGGCTTTGCACCATATGGGACCTCAAAGCTCCGGGAAAGGACGGGCTACATGCCCTTTTCTTTCAGAAAAATTGGGGAATCGTTGGCCCGACGGTCCGACGTTTTATCCAAGGCATGTGGCAACAGGGGGTTGTCCCACATGAAGTGAATCAAACTCTGTTAGTCTTAATTCCTAAGATCGAGAATCCTAGCACCATCCGGCAGTTTCGCCCTATAAGCTTGTTTAACGTGATCTACAAAATATTCACTAAAGTCTTGGTGAATAGATTAAAGAGCACCTTACCCAGGTTAATTCATCCGGCACAAGCCAGCTTTGTCCCGGGCCGCCAAATCAAGGACAACATCATTGTTGCACAAGAACTAATCCACTCAATGCGTGTGAAACGGGGGTCGAAGGGGTTTATGGTCATAAAGGTAGACCTTGAAAAAGCTTATGACTATTTGCGATGGGACTATATTCAAGAAACTCTTAGCCTGGCAGGTTACCCTGAGAAGTTGGTTAGAGCTGTTATGGCTTGTCTTACCTCGGCTTCGATGAATTTATTGTGGAATGGAACAATTGGCGAGGAGTTTCGACCTACCAGAGGAGTCAGACAGGGGGACCCCATCTCCCCATATTTGTTTGTCCTTTGCATGGAGAGACTGGCCCAATGTATCTGTCAGTCGGTGGAGGATTTTGCCTGGCGCCCTATCTCTGTAGGTAGAAATGCGGTCACCGTGCCTTTCCTGATGTTCGCCGATGATCTTCTTCTCTTCTTGGAGGCTTTGGACGATCAGGCGGTTATATTACAACGAGTCCTAGATAATTTTTGCTCCCGGTCCGGCCTTAAAGTGAGCCCGGAAAAAACCCAGGTATTCTTCTTTCACAATGTGCCAGTCCATGAACAAATAAAGCTCTCCACGGCACTCAATTTTAAACTGAAAAATAATCTGGGGAAGTACTTGGGTGTGTCAATCCTCCATGACCAGATGACCAAGGACACGTATCTCCATATCTTGGAAAAGACGGATCGTCTAGCCGGGTGGCGCATGAAAATGCTATCAATGGCCGGGAGGGTGACCCTTACGAAGTCTGCCTTGAGCACACTCCCTTTCTTTGCCATGCAGACCAACCTGCTACCAAAGGCGGCCACAGAGGGCATAGAGAAGAAGTGTCGGGCATTTATATGAGGGGCATCTGATGAACGGCGAAAAGTACACTTGGTGGCGTGGAATGATGTCTGTAAGCAGAAAGAGGAGGGAGGCTTGGGGGTAAAGGACCTCCGTCGCATGAACTATGCTCTTTTGATGAAAGTGGGTTGGGGATTATTGACTGAACCAGCCGCCCTTTGGGTACGTATGCTTTCAGCTAAATATGGGCTGAACTTATCTGCTAATATGGACCTGGGAAACGGGCACCAAGTGTCGAATTTAATGCAAGCAATTCGAAAAGTCTGGCCAAACGTTGTTAAAGGCATACGGTGGGTCTTGGGTAATGGCGAAAAGGCGCGGTTCTGGCTCGATTCTTGGTTAGATGCGACTGGGCCGTTAGTGAGGTTTGTTCAACCTCAGATGCAGTTGGTAAACATCCACGATGTGGTTGCCGACTTTGTCGATATTAATGATAGGTGGAAATGGCAATGCTTTCATGGAGTTCTCCCATCTGCCGTAATTCTCCAGATTGCTGGTACTCTCCCACCGCTGGCAGACGCCGGAGAAGACCGCATGGTCTGGCGGTTCTCCGAGAACGGCCACTTTTCAATGCGCACGGCGTACCAATCCCTGTCTCTCACCGAACTGGACAACGAGCAGGTCTTGTGGAGAGCTATTTGGAGAACACCTGCACCGCAAAGAGCCCGGTCTTTTTTGTGGCCTGCCGCCAAAGAACGACTCCTCACCAATGTTGAACGTTTGAGGCGACATATTTCGGTATCGGCGGCTTGCAAGTCGTGCGGGAATATGGAAACGGTATTGCATGTAATTCGAGATTGCCCTATTATTAGGCAGCTATGGCAACGCTTACTACCGGTGGACCTTGCCCCAGAATTTTTACCAGATGCCCGTCAAACAACGGCTGCACAGTAACCTTTCGATATCACGGGCGGGGAAGAGTGAGACGTGGAGTAGCATGTTTGCCATTACTATATGGCGAGCATGGTTTTGGCGCAATGAGAGGATATTTAAGAATAATACCGTTAGTGTCGAGGCGCGGAGGTTAGAAGTGTTGAGATTGACAGAGAACTACAAAAGTGCGGTGGCTGATTATGCACGAGTTGGGGCGGAGGTGCATGTCACGCGGATGATTCATTGGAGTGCTCCGGCGGAAGAGTGGATTAAAGTAAATACTGATGGGGCCTTTAATGAGTACACAGGAATGAGCAGTGCAGGGGTATTGGTTCGCGATGACGCAGGACGATGGATTGCGGGGTTCGTTCACAATATTGGTCTATGCACTATTACGGGCTTTAAGTTGTGGGGTCTGTTTCAGGGACTGTTCTTGGCATGGGAGATGGGATATCGAAAAGTTGCTGTAGAGGTGGATAGTCTCTGCGTGAAAAAAATGGCATGCGACTCCGAAGGCGAGGTAGGGCCTCATGAGGCAATGATCAGAGCTATCCGGGACCTGCTTCAAAGGGATTGGCGTGTTAACATCCTCCATATTTATAGGGAAGCGAATTTTGCGGCCGACCACATGGCGAGCATAGCGGCATCTTACCCGATTGGCTTACACCGCCTGACTTCCCCCTCTGAGGGATTAGGTGCTTGGCTTGATCATGACCTCATTGGGATGGCGTACCCACGTAGAACTTTAGCTTAGGCCTTTAGCCTCCTTCTTTGCACCAAAAAAAAAAAAATATATATATATATATATATATCGCAAATTATGACATCCTTATATTTAAGGTTGCGATTAGGTATAAAATATTTTTTTGAAAATATTATAGAGTTGAGAGATCATACCATATATAATTTTTTATTTTTTATTTTTTTGAGAATATGTAAGGTAAACTTTCCAATTCAAAGTTCTGTTCAAAATAGGAGTCAATTAATTCAAATAGAATCATGTCATATATAAATATTATTTTTAGGTATTTTATTATATTTCGAAAAAGAAAAATAAAATATATTAAATATAATTTATAAAACGATATTTAACAGTTTATAATTGTATTTTTCATTTTCACTAATAATTAAATTTATAAAATGTGTTATGTCATCAATTATGTAACTTATAATTTTATATATAATATTCAAATGACAGGACTGTATTATTTTTGCATGTGTGTGTGTCCATTAATAATAATAAAAAATACTTACAAAACTAGTTATTTTTTGTAAAGCTCGACAACTTACCCGATATTATAATAGTTGCGGGTTTTCACATAAGGAAGTCAAAGAGTCGGTTATCGAGTGAAGAAACCAATCACATGGGATTCTTCTTTTCCCATCATTTTTTGTCCGCAAATATTTAAACAATTTTGACTAAATTGGCTACTTTCCATAATTGGCCTTAATAATGAATAAATAATTCATTTGATAATGAAATTAGACAATATTATAGTACAAATGATTGGTTTGGACAAAATTGGAAAGAGACATGATGATCTTCAAGGATTGAGGCCATTGAAATATTTAAGCCCCGTCATATATTTTATCCTCCCAATTATATTTTTAATCTATTTGAGATGCTATATCTATCTATACCAGAGCTTTAGTTTCAATATCTTTTCCACGAGTTCAGATTTGTAAATTTGAAAGACTAGTCAATATGAAAAAAAGAAAAACAATTCCATTAAAATGTTTCTATGTAGTACAATAGTTGCTAGAAAAAAATTGAACAATAATTATTTATAATGTACAAGTTCCATTATATAAAATACACCTTAAACACAAAATTTGTGTAATAACATTCGTATTAATTAATTTAACATGGTCAATATTTTTTAGTTTTAAAATTATTGTATATTTCTCGTACGAATATAAAGTAGTATATTTTTTTGTCATATTCGAAAATAAACTAAAACATGTTAAAAGAAAAATGTAAGTATCTCTTAGACTGCCAAATGATTAACCTTAAACTCGTCTGAGAAATGTATAGATACATAATATTGTACATAGAGGTGTACATAACATTCACATTGAGTGGGACTTACCAAAAATAAAAAAATCAAGTACACCCCACTCTATGTGAGTGTTATGTACACTTCTATGTACATTTATTTATTTATTATGTGCATTATAGCATTTGTCTCCCAAAAAAAGGAATGAAAAGTATATACACTCTAAAATTGAAGTGAAAAATAATCTAGAAAAAGTGTAAAATGGAAGTACGAACAACAAAATGCCAAATTGGGAACAAAATTGATTGAAAAATAGCTGTGATTAAGTTGTCTGACTGTAAATTTTACAAACATTCTAAAATTTCGAAAAACGAATAAAATCATTGGATGGTGACAGCTAGGACCTAATCCCAAGGTGTGATGTGTGTGACAGAGAAACAAGCATTTCTGGTTTGTCTTCTTCTCTTGAATAAATCCATTTTTTTCTTCTTCTTTTTTGTTTTTTTCGGCCAACAATCCTGAAGAAAAACGTTGACATCCTTTTAAATATTTTGGCTACANAAAAAAAAAAAAGGTTAGATCTTTAATATTTCGTGTCTTTTAAATATTTCTCTTTGATCTGGAAACTCGGGTTTGTTTATACAATCAATTTGCTGCATTTTGCACCTCTGCCTAAAATGCACATGCATGAAATTATTCTCACGCATATATATTTTATCTGCTTCATTTCTTTCCTCTTTCCTATCTGTCATCGTTCTTGAATTTTCATGTGGAAGTTAATAAAATTCTGTTGCTTTTTATATTATCAGCTACAAATCCATGTTTAAATAGAAAAAAGGCCCCATTCTTTGGTTTAGATTTTGAAGCATTTGAAGGAAAAGGGTGTAAGAAATCAATTAAAAAGGGGCAAAAAAAATGAAGAACTCAGTATCTGAACAGAGTTTCTACTTGGAAAGTGAGGGAGAAGAAGAAGAAGAAGATGAAGAGGAAAAGCTCTATGAAAAAAGTGAAATCGATGGTAACGATTCGGATTTTTCGAACGAGGATGAAAATGAAAATCTCCAACAAAGCAAGGCTGGTTCTTTAGACCCCTCTTGGCCTCAGAGTTACCGGTAAAAATCATCATCCTTTTTCCATTTTTTCATCTCTGCTTTTTCCCATGTTAATTGTATGTCCATTAATCATGTTGAGATGGGAAAATGCCAATTTTGATTTCTAGTGTATCCAAGATCTTAATTTGATAAATTAACTAGTTAGATAAAAAAAAAATATGAGAAAGATCACTTTTTTCACCCAAGAAAAAGGTCAAATTGAAGTTCGATGATCGGCAATGAACACATTTTGAAAATATGAGGAGATGGGAAAATGCCAATTTTGATTTATAGTGTATCCAAGATCTTAATTTGATGAATTTAGCTAGTTAGATTAAAAATATATATATATATATATAT